TTTTGTTAATATTACGTTTTTATTTTTAATTTTTCATTTTTTATAACAGTTAACATTTTTATGTAATTTGTAAAATGTTAATATTTATTTTGTTTGTTAAATTATATATGGAATATTAATTTTGTTTTAATATACTTTGGAAATAATGACATTTAAAAAAAATAATAAACTAATATAATGATGTGTCATTATATGATTGGAGGACTTAAATCCTATGTGGACGTCCTCAATGGCTTATAGCCTCAACTTTTATATAGTATAGATTTTCTATAAAAATTTTGACACTTCGGATTAGTTCAGATTGAAATTTTGATCAATTCAGTTGAGACTTGTGTTAATTTCAATCCAATTTGGTTTACCTTTTTTACAACTTTCGAAAATCACCTAACTGAACCAAACTCTAAACTGAACCTAAATCAAAAATTTCGGTTCGACTAAAATCTAGGCAAGATGGTCTAGGTTAAAACTTCAAGTCTTCAATAGATCAAAACCTTTTAGAAATTAATATTACAAAAACTTTTTGGGATGAAAACCTTTTAATTCATGCCATGAAAAGATGTAAAACTCAAGCAAGAGTAGATAGCATAGTAATTGAAGCGTCAAGTTATCAATAAACATCAAAAATGTAGAGCTGTAGTAGTTGTCATCACATTGATATCCTGTTAAGATTATTATTCTTACATCTACTGAAAGAAAGATCCAAACATTCTATAGCCTTTGCTTTTTCTTGCTTGATTTCTGCAATAAGCTTCTCTTCTGTGTATTGTTCTATGTGTCTTGTCAAGCGTGATGGATCTTCCACATTCCAGTTCTGTATCCCATAGACATTAAAGCCATCTCCCAGAGCATGTTGGGAATGCTCAACAAACTGACTTTAGACCCGGGGATTTCAGACCAGTTCACAGAGATCTCAAGCATTGGAATGTTAAAACGCTTGCACAAGAACACCAATTCAACATCAAAGCACCACCTGCGCAGAGACAGGGATACTCTTATTATTGCTTCTACTGCTAGTATATCATCATTAAATATTATAAATACCTTTTCAGATGGACGTTTGTGAAAAGTCTTCTAGCAGCAGCTCTAGTAAACATCTTGAACCCACACTGCAAAGAAAAACATGCCTCCATGTAAACAGAGCAAGTACATTGACTAGAGATTAGAGAAGCCAACAGAAAGTTTTAAAAGCCACCTGAGTATCACGAATTCCAGAACCAGCAGCCAACAGAACCACAAGATGGAAACCTTTCATCAAAAAGTTACGGTACCACTTCCTCTGAAATTGACAAACTGAAGTCAATTAGCACATGCTTCCAAGACACATTACATGAATATGTTCATGCATCCATGTGTGTACATAGACTACATATGATACTATATCTAGATTTTTGCAGAACTTAACTGTAGCAAGCGCTTTCTCTTCAAGATGAGCACGAGAACCAAATGCTGATACTTGCACATCACCTATTCTGAAATCCTTATGCTTTAATGCTGGATCTCTAATTGAACTTTCTTCTCTGGCTACTGCATGAATCTGAGAAGGCACATGAGATCAGGACACAGTTTCCAGATTGTCTGAAATTTCAAGAGCCAAAAACTTAGTCGAACCTGATTTTCAAGTTTTTCTAGGTCTGTTACTTTAGTTGCTCCATCAGCATCCAACATGAGAAGTAGTTCACCACGCGAATGCATCATTCCCTATTTAATGCTTTCATAAAAGTAGAAAGCTTCGGTTATTTTTTTTCTACGATGAAATAGTAAGTTAGATAGAGTTGCATGCCAGAAGGAGTTGAGCTCACTTTTCTTATAGCTTCTCCTTTCCCTTGATTCTTCCCAAGTGGTATAAACCTTATGTTGTCAACTGTATACTTTCTAACGAAATCAAAAGCTACTCTTTTTGTTCCATCAACACTTCCATCATCAACAATCACCACCTAGAAAAAGAGAACAATGCAAATTAATTAAGTGATTCAGTATGATATCGACATACTAGTAAGGTGAATTAATTATACCGACAAAAACCTTTATAAGTTCATTCATATTCACCATCACAAAGGCTATATATAGGTTGTGAATCAACATTAATGAACTAAAAGGAGATGAACCAGGAAACTATTTACCTCATATGAAAAACTCTTATCCCTTGATGCACGACCTTGAAGGTAACTGCAAATCATAGAGAAGCAAACTTCTCAGGAATGGAACACAGTTCTGGAAAAGGGAGTTTCTAAAGAAGTGAACGCAAGTAAACTTACTCCATTGTTTCCTCAAGAGCTGAAGGAAGTCTCTGCTCTTCGTTAAACGCTGGAACTATTAGTGACAGATACTTCTCCGCAGGGTCGGAGATATGAGGGCAGGGAACCTGATGATAGAGTTTGAAAAGCTCTTAAAATCAACATTCACAACCAGAGGAGACGCATTTCTCTCTACAAACAGCTGAATCTGAAGCTTCAGCACTCCAGACAGTTAAAAGACAGCTAATTCCGACACATAACTGGTCAGAAAAAACTCCTACGTAATCTCATAGCTCTTGTATTAAACGTTCCAAAAAGCAACAAGAAACAAGTGTCCAAATCGCCATTGCAAGATCTCATTTCCATTTACTTTAACAACAGATTATCAGGTAAAAAGAGAGCTACTTTGGACACACAACTGTTTAGACAAAACTCCTACATGATCTCAACGCTCTGTCTTAAATCGCCAATCCAAGATCTCATAGAAAATCTCAGTTCCATTAACTGTTAACAACTGATTATCAAGCATAATCGTTCTAAGCCACACACTAACAGAAAATCACAGATTCTCAATGTTATCCGAAACGATAATGGATCAGACAATACCTGTTTCAAGGTTCTCGGATCCTCCAGTGTAGTCACCGCCTCGACAGAGCTGGTGAATATATAATCAAATCAATATCAAAATCAAGGATAAGAAACAGTTATAGAAGAAAAGGAGTAAGAAACTTACACGTTACTGTGTCTCCTTCTCCAAGCTTCAACAAAAACGACGGAGATAAATCCCCAGACGACGATCAGCAACAACGAGAGGCCTAGTTCCGCAACGGTTAACAGAGACTCCATTGCTGGTGCTCCCCAGATTCTCAGATCTGTTTTGCTTCACGAGGGAGAGAGAGAAGAAGAAGAAGGGAGAGATGGAATGAAATCCGTGACGAATAAGCAAAGAAAGCTAAAGTTTATTGATTTTAATCCGTGAAGTGTGAGTGTAAAGTATTCGATTGATTGTAAGATAATTCGAACCCTAATTTCATAACAAAATGCAGAGCTTTTCTATTTTGACTTTCGAAGTTAAGACATTTCGGTTTGACTTTGTGATTGAACCCATTTAGGTTCGGTCGGGAAGGTTATGTTTTAAGAAATTTTTATTAATAAACCGAACTAAACCGAAGATGTGTTCGTTTAACCGTATTGAACTTGACTTGTGTAACTGGACCAATCTAGCTCGAAGTCTTGAACCCATAAAAAGGTTTGGATTTTGTTACCAGTTAAAGCGTTTGTGGCCATATTCAATCGTCTTCAGCATCAATCAAATATAGACTGAACCAGAAATGTATTAATGCCACACTAGTGATATCATTTAAAGAAAAGACCATAACAATAAACAAGCTTAGAAGTTAGAACAAACTCTCACAAAGACAAAATCATACAACTGAGTAAAAACATTTAAGGTACCTGAACGTGTTATTTTGTATATTATCTTCTTTGTATAAAGCCTATAACCTTGGCTACTAGTGTAAACCCCCCATATCAATTAAAAAACAGCCGCAAAAAAACACATTACACTCAGAAAAATGACTCACAACAGCAAAATTCTTTGGCCTCATTGATGCCACATTTGTACAAACTCTCAAGGACCACCGTGAATCCTTATCCTCTCGCGGCTCTTCTTCTTCATGAATCTCTCTGCCTCTTGTTCCGCATGAAGAGCTGACTGAAGCCTCTTTAGATTCGCAGCACACTGTCTGTGCAGTCCCGGTGAGAACATTCCTGCACCTTCTTGATTGATCGGTCCAAGGTGGCGCTTGTACTGTGAAAGCCACTTGGATTGCAGGTAGTTCAGCGATCTCCATGGAGGCAACGGCATTGAGTTCTGCTTTAACGAGAATTTAGCCGCGTCGACCATTACTTGGAGGAACTGGTTTAGTCTTGTAACCGTTCCTACGTAGACCACTGGGAGTGATTCCATTATCCGTTGGTATGAATCCACGGCTCGAGCGATTTCGAAGTGACTTCTAAAATCAATGTCGATGATTAAACGGTCGTCTTGGCCAACGGGAGTGTCACTCAATATGAGATCTATGTATTCGTTGTCTCCTGAGAACAAAAACAAATCACATCAATCTTCTGTATGAAGAACCTGTACAAGGAGGAGTTTAGAGGTGGAAACTTACCACCAGGAACTTTGCCAGTGCCTTGCCATCTTGCTGAACAAACAGCAGCGTTATATCCGGAAAGGCGTAAGAGCTTTGCGAGATAAAACCTGATGCAACTGGCGTTGCATGTACCAGTCTTCACAGAGTGGAGATCTTTCTCCTTGATAGAAAGCATCAAGTTACGAACCGCCGAGAGAACCTCGGTTTCATGCTGAGGCATAGAGTACTTGAGAAACTGCAGATAACAAAAAACGAAATTTTAAATTAACAAAAAGACATCAACCTTCCGTATAAATTGAAATACTTAAGTCTTAAAAATGTGTTATGAAGAATGCCTACTACATAATATAGCAGCTCTATACAGAAAATCTGCCATTCTAACCAATTTATGATAATCTCTGAAATACTTTATAACGAGTGGCAAACAAGGACATAAGTAAGCAGCAGAAGACAGCATGAGAGTACTCGCAAGTGTTCTCCACTGGAAGGTAATTAGCAACTATCTACTACAGATACCATACCAACAAAACTGTATCTGAAGGCATCATAATAAACCAAACTTCAGCTCAAAACTATATTCATTGTACTAATTTCAACCTTTCAAAGAAACTGAAATACTTGGGTCCCAAAAACGTGATGCTTCCTAGACCTACAGAATAGAACACACTGTACAAAAATGCTACCACTCTAACCAATCTATGAAATAATTTACCACGAGAGCCAAACAGGAACATAAATAATCAGCAAAAGACAAAGCTTGGGAGAGCACACTAGCAACAATTCCATATGCAAGTCCTTTCCATTAAAATGTGATTACCATCCTAGTTCTTTGCAATATTTTTATTCCCCAGTGTAAAACAAGAACATTATACGCAGCAGCAGAAGACATAAGCAATGAGAGAGCACACTAGCAAGAATTCTTATCTAAGTGCTCTCCATAGGAATGTGATGAGCAACAATTCTTTGTCAAAGTGCTATCCATTGAAATGTGATTAGCAACCATACTTAGACACCATTCTAAAATTATCCATGATGTCTCAGTACTTATATTCCCGAGTGGCAAACCAGAACATTATAAGTAACAGCAGAAGACATAGCATGAGAGAGCACACCAGCAACAACTCTTTCTACAAGTACTCTCCAATGGAACGTGATTAGCAACAATTGTTTATGTAAATGCTCTCAACAGGAATGTGATTAGCAACTATCTACAACAGATACCATTCTTAACATACCAACGCTCTTCTCTCCGATACTTTAATTCCGAGTGGCAAACAAGAACACTAGGCATATATATACTTGGATTCTTCGTTCAATGATCAAAAACTAAAAATCACAATCTCACGTAGAATCAACAACCTAAAGGCATCATTCTAAACCATGTTCACGCACTATGAAACTATAATCACGTGTACCATTTCTATATGTTAACCGATCCCAATTCAAACAACCAATAAGAGTAATCAAATCGCCCTACGGTACCTGAATCTTATCGGAAAGGTAAGAAAGATCGGGAAATCCAGAATCGCTATCGCTGCTACACCACGAATCACCACCACCACCTCCACCGCTTCCACCCCCTCCCGTCTCCAGAAAATCCGTAACCATACGACCTAAGTCACATTCACCGTCGATGCTTGAATCTCTCCCTCGCTCCCACCACTCCTCTGCCGGAAAAACTCTCAAATCCATCCCCATCGTAACCTAAATCCCTCTCTCCTCGAGAAGAAGACGAAATTTAACGATTCGAATTAAATGAAAAAAAGGAAAAATAGAAATATTGAATTGACTCTCGGCACAGAAAACGCGTTTCGTCCTCTTCTCACGAGTCTTTTGTGATTGATTATATACAAAATGAGAGAGAAAGAGAGAGAGAGCTTGAAAGGTAGAAAAGACCAGGAAGATAGGCGGAAACGAAGTTTAAGCCAAGGTGTGGTTAAATATAATATTTTATTACACGTGTTCTAATGACGTGGTTGCCCTTACCAGTTTTAACTGTATTACCATTTGAGCTCGTTTTTTTTTTTCTAGTTGTAACGAACAGAAGGTTCATAACAGAAAAAAAGTGAATCAGGACGGAGTCTAGGGTTATATTCGTAATGAAAATTAACAGAACAGGTCAGTTATTTTAACAAGGGAAAGGATAAAATGGTAAGTTGGTAACTGGAAGTAGCTGGAGCGTACCGGACAATCTAATAAAGCTTTGGCTTGGGGACGAAGTTTAAAGGTCTCTTTATAACGTTCTTTATTATGCTGACACGGACGACTTTTTGTATTCATTAATACAATAATCAATTCACATTTTTCAAAAACAAAATTGACCCAGAAATTTTAAATCGATATCAAATAAGATTGCCCTGTAATTGTCACATATTGCATTAACGTTCTTCACTTTGTATATTCCCTCTATTTTAAAATAATACATATTCCCTCCGTTCCTAAAATATGTATATTATAGAAAAAAAATTTGTTTCGAAACTATGCAATTTTTTACCATTCAATGAATAATTTAATGAAAAATTGTAAGTTTCAAAAAAATTAATGGTCTTTATTGAATTCCTATTGGTTAAAAGTTATGGAAAATTGTTATTCACAAAAAACAATGCATTTACAATCAAAATTAAATGAGTTTTCTTAATATTTGTGAAAAGTCTAGAACATAGATTATTTAGGAACAGAAGAAGTATTTAGTTTTTGTTCACATAAATGAATAAAACACATTAAGTTTTAGTATTAAATATATATTTTTGAAATTATCTATTTTCCATATTTTTAAACCAATACATATGCAGTAAATATAATTATTTTTCTTGGAATTAAAATTTAATCATTATTAATGACAAAAATACATTAAAAATACAAAAATGTATCTTTCTAAAACAAATACTTTTTTCTTTAGTACGCATCTTAATGAAACTGAGGCAGTACTACATAATTCATTTTCAAAAAGTTGAAAACTAATAAAATACTCTTTACCTACTTTTTTATCAAATTTCCTATACACAAAAAGATAAAAAGATAAATTTTAATATTTTTTTTAAATTGTTAATTATCTATCTAACCAGACTTTAATCAACAAAGAATAAAAGGCAGGAATTTTTTTGTTAATTATCTATCTAACCAGAATTTAATAAATTTTGTATCAAACTTTGGAAAAAAATCATGTAGTTTGAAACAAAAGAAAAACTCTAGACGTAGTTCACAGAAAAGAAATGGTTTATCATTATATAAGTTCATCAATCAATAGTATTATATTAATTCATATTAATATTTAAAAAGGTAAAATATAATTAAATTATATTATATTTTTAAATAAAAAATGATAAAAATAAATAAAAAATAGTATTAATTACAAAAGAAATTATATATTTTAACATCGCTAGCAAACCACTAAATCCTTAGATAAACCCTAAACTCTAAGATAAATCTTAAACTCCAAATCAACAACATTAAATATTAAATCTTAAAAATATTAAATCCTTAATCATAACTCCTAAACCTTTAGATAAAAAATAATAATTAGTTGCTAAAAAAGAAATTTTTTAAAATATTTCAACAAAATACTAAACTTTAAATATTAGTCATTAAATCTTAAACACAAAACTCTAAATCTTTGAATAAATCATAAATTATAGGGTTTACAATTTATCGAAGGAGTTTGAGATTATGATTAAAGGTTTAGTGTTTTTGTGATTTAGTGTTTAATATTTTTGATTTACGGTTTACGATTTATCAAAAAGTTTAGGATTTATTCAAACATTTAGGGTTTGAGATAGGATTTAGTGTTTTATTGACTGATTTAAAATATTAAAAAATTATAATTTTTAGTATTTTTTATTTTTTATTTTTTTTTAAATATAATATAATTTGCCAATATTTTATTTGTTATTTTTAAAATATCTAATATGAAATAACAAAATATTTTTGGTATCGCATGTTTACGGATATTGAACAACAATGAAAACGCATATTTATCGATTTTGAACAACAATGAAAGTTGAAAAAAAAAAAAAAGAACAACAATGAAAATGTCATTTGAACGGGCTTTACTTTCATTACGCATGGGCCTTTTCAGGCCTTCTGTCATATTACTTGCAACCATCCAAAACCAAATTGGTAAGTCAAGTCACAACACTACACAAACCCCAACATTGGGCTAGGTGCTCATAATTTGCCTCCTCTTTTCCATTATCGAAAGTTTTAGACGGATAATAATCTTTAATATCCGATTAAACTGTACACTTAAGCTTTTATATGTTTTGAATCTTTGGGTATTTTGAAGATCATCGTATGATATACAAATACACTAACGAATTCAGAGTAACGCATGTTTTTATCGATATTGAACAACAATGAATATGTCAATTTTATTTTGTAACAACGAAGAAAAATATCTTGTATCTATATTTTGCTTCTCAACACGACATCTCCGACCATAGAAAATAAAAATTCTCATGTGTGGGAGACAAGACACGGCAAGTCCAAGAAGTACCTCCGTACGTCAAGATTGTCCAACCCGTGTCGAGAAAATATTTTAGATCTTCTTTGATTGAATACGGATTCTGTGTAGATTACTTACAAAAAGTCCAATTAGTACCAATCAGACAGCGACATCCAAAAACAATACGCGACTCATTAATCAAAAACCTACCACCCAAGTCAAATCTATTTTCCTTTTTAAATACATTCTTGATTATGACTTTCTCAGAGACAGAAGGAAGAAATTGAAAGCTTATTAGTTCAATTATTTCGTGTGTAAAACATTCGTCACATCTAGAATAACGAGTTTCTTTAACTTCCGTACGACAAGAAAGAAAACCATTGTTTTATTAAGTGATGGTAGTTGACAAAAAATGGTGACAAAAGAAAAACAAATCGAATTAATAGATTTTATTTGAAAATGGATTTACGAGCAGAGTCAATTCGTGACGGCTAGCCAAATGATGACTAAAATAAGAGATATATTGGAAGAATTACCATGTTAAAAATGCAGTTTTCGAGCGTTGTACCAAAAATATTCTCAAACTATAATTGACCAAATGAAACTCTACAAATCCCCCACAATCTTCTTTTTCTTTTGGTATAACTCAACAAAGACTACGAAAAAAAATGAAAACGAAGTCTTTAGTTAATTTGTACCAAATTAATTGGTAGATTGGACAGTTGACGTCACACCTTGGCCTCAACTTACGTCACTAACAATTACTGTTAATTTCAATTAAAATATTGTTAACGTGATTACAAATAGTGGAGTCCTATCAAACC